ATGGATGCAGGTGGCTCAGGACCGTGCTTTGTGGCATTCCTTGGGGGAGGCCTATGTTCAGCAGTGAACTTGTGAAGGGGTGTAATGATGATGATGACTTCCAAAATAAAATGAGAACATCATCAATGTAGTCGGAGTCAATTAAATACGCATTGTTAAGGATAACTCAAAAACTACTGGTCAAATCTTGATCAAATTTATATGGGACGACATGAGAAGCATTAGCTTTCGAATGAAAAAAAAGAATCATCAAATCGGTTCACCTATAAAAAAAGTTCTGAGGTAACACACAAAAACATACAGTCGAATTGAGTACCTCCTCCTTTTTTAGAAGTCGGCGAAAAAGAGGATTCATTGCAGGGTATCCTAACCAATTTAATTGGTTAGGAGATATCATGGTTTCTTCTCGACATATACGTGAAAAAGTTCGCAACCTACGTAAATACACACGCGCACACACTCATAAGAGAACATCCGGTATCCGGTAGGCGTTTAGTACAAACATGTTCTATTTTTCTCCATAGATAATGACACGAGCGATTTTTTTTTAACAATACCATCTACCTATATCCAAAGAGAATATAACCACTACGTTTACCTATATCTACCATTTCTTGATCATAGTGTTTTGTTTTTGTTTCATAAATTATTTATCTTTCAAACTAGAAACGTTGTGATACTACCAAAACTGCCCATTTATTCCGCCGTAATTTGACTTACTGCAAACAAATTTAACGAACATAAAAAACCAGAGAAAACGTACGGACATAGCCACAATCGTTTTTATATTGTGTTCGAAAAAAAGGGGCCATTTTTGGAAAAGGGGAATACGAAATGATGATTTTGTCAACGTTTCATGGGTAAAATTAGAGCTGTATTCTCCTCTAATTCGGTTGCAACTAGCTAGTTCGGGTAAGGCGAGACAGCAATAGGTCGTCAAAATCCAATTCTTAAAATTTCTTGCAGCCTCGATATCCTCATAAACACAAACACACACACACACGTGCGCCTATACGCGTGCACGCACGCTCATAACAACGCACGCACATTACAACTTTTAAATAGGAAATGATTAATAATTTAGACCACTTTTATAATAAAATGTCAATTTATTAACCTAACAATTTCTTGCGTTAACAACTAGTGCGTGCTGAGATTCTGTTCACTAACATGATGCGATAAGTACACGTGACTGGTTGATTCAATTGAGGGATTACTACATATTGGATTCACTATTTACAGCTTTAACAATGAGGGCATCCACAACTTTTTCTGCCACCAGGGCGGCGCCACTAGAAAGTGAGGTGTAATATTTGACAGATTTCATAGCGGGGAAGTTAATTTGTTCGGAAAATGTAAAAGTTATCGTTTCTTTCTGTACTATTAGCTACATTTTATATTAATAACATTAAAAATAAATAAACCAAACCACAGATATTCATAAAAGTAGAAATATAAAAAAAAAGTTAAAAATGTGCAAAAAATTAAAGAGCAAACCACTGACGCACTGTTTTGTGTATTAATATAATACTCTAGAAACTGAAAAACTTTTATTAAAAAACAACTTCTCAATTAAATTACATTGTGTAACAAAACTACCTCAGTGTCAACTAGCGACATCTGGTGAGCAGAAAATTATTAGCCCTCATAATGATTTAAGTTTTTTTCTACATCAAGTACACAATAATAACACAATACTTAACGAAATAAATATTTATCTAAGATTCTAGTATATTACATTACAAATATATAAATAGCCTCTTCTACTTTTTAATATCTAACACGTCATTAATAAATTTTCTCTTTTTTAAAGTTAACAAACCGAAATTATATAATTTAATAGTATTTTAACTAAAAATAATAATTTTCAAAAATGAATCATTAAACGAATCTCTGCAAAATTAGTCTTATATTTAAAAATAATTTAATAATTTTTGAAAAATAATCGTAATATTATTCAGAGCCCTTTATTCCTACTGTGGCTGTACAATTGTACATATACGCAGTAGAGTCATGCTGCATATATATATATTATGGTTGTACCACGAATGGGTCAGCGCGAACGGGGTAGAACGCTCTCACAGAATACCAACGTAAAATATCATGTAAATATATGTAGAGGAGACCCTTTTTACTGGAAAACAGGCATTCCATCTTAATCCTCACGGGTGACAACACATCTACATATTGATTCTTAATTGAGGATAAATGTAGATGTCTACATTCACTTACCATCAGGTGGACTGGGTGCTTGTTTGTCATTCTTATTTTATATTAAAAAAAAAAACATAATATTCATTCCTAATGCCATTCCATACGCTACAATATAAATCAACAAAAATTCCACATCAAATTCTATTCTATTCTCTGAAAACAAAAGGACTCGTTTCTTCTATTCCTTCCATGGTGGTGTTGATAGCTTGCCCTTCATCATCATAGAATGCCTCATAGAAGGGTTATTTGCCTTGCCACGCTTGGCAGAGGGCCAGGCAACCGCAGTTTCTTAATATTTTGAATTGTTATAAGAAAGGTGCTGTCCGTATACTGTTTCAATATCCCTCTATCGCCTCTTACCACAGCCTCGGAATGATATAGTGTAGTGAATTTTCTTACGCCGCCAGTACACAGAGTTTCTTCTATTTATTAATCCGTAAATGATCCGTAATTAGATCTTATTACTTCACAACAAAGTATAAAAAAACTTATTCGAGTGTACTAACAAATTATTAATTTATGGATAATTTAAACCATTTCATAGTAAATATGTACAGCTTATATTGAGAGCTAAATTTAAAAAAAAAACTTAAACAAAATTATGCCTAAATATATACATACATAAATTCATTTTTAAAATGTATTAATTATGTTGCTAAATTTTTAACGACGATTGGAAGAACATTTTTCTCTTATAATCTAATATGATAAAACAATATTACTTGAAGAATGATCTATGTAGCTCTAGCATAATGTTACGAATGTAGTATGTATGGTGTGTAGTCACGCTGCAGTTTTGTTTGGACCACATATAATTAGGTCGGTTTAACTGCGGTTAACATCTTAATGCCGCTGTTATTTGAATGATGAGTGACCAAACCTGCAAGCTTTTTTACTGGTAATGATGCATTCCATCATAACCCTAAGAGAAGAGAATGCACTTGATGGTTAATCGAAGATGTAAGTCTCTATGGATCACAGCATCCATTTACCATAAGGTGTGCTTTATGTCACCGTTAAAATGTTTATCCCCCTTCTATAAATAAATCTATCAAAAAAAGTATTTTATATTTATTTGGATTTTGTCTCTCTGTACATATTTACATTACTCTGTATCACTTATAATATGGGTAATTCGTGGATTTCAAAACCTCGAAACATTAAAAGTGGTAAAATTAAAATTTTGTACAACCGACTTCAATATAAATAAAATGAGAACATCATCAGTGTAGTCGAAATCAATTAAATACGCATTATTTGGTACCACAATTTTATATGGTACCACATGAGAAACACCGACTTTCGAATAAAAAAAAAGAGTCATCAAAATCGGTTCACCTAGAAAAAAGTTCTGAGGTAACAAACATAAAAAATATAGTCGAGTTGAGAACTTCCTCGTTTTTTTTTTAAATGGTTGCAAACTGAAAATACAATTTTAAGCCTATCTCTTTTAATGGACACAGGCCTCTCATTTCTGAGAGAATCAATAGCCCTCTTAGAAAAATAAACGATCGGGGTGAAATATCATATTTCGCATACGCCATGCTCTAACAATAGAAAAAAATTACATTTTACGCTAACCTACGTTAATATGTTAAAGAGCATCTTTAAAATCTAAATTAACCTAGTATATCAGATTATGAATTTATTACATTAAATTAACTAATATTTTGCATTGCTTTTCCATAAGTATACATTACTTGCGGTTTAAACTTAAAAACTAATATCAATTACACTAAGAATTGTGACTAAAAATTCACATGAATAAGTTAAAAGTTTGATGCAAGCATCAGAGCCGACAAAGTAATCCAGTCTCAAAACGCGTGCCAACTAAATACAAAATCCGACTGTGATACCCTCGCAATAAAAGTTTTTTTTAAACAAATATACACACAAAACACAAGATCAACATTAACATAGTTCTAAAATAATGTCAAAATATTACCAATAACAAAATTAACTGTAGCAAACAATATTTCGTTGCATTAATAAAAAACATTAAAAGAAACCTCACAATGATAACAAAACCATTAGAAGTAATGCATGATTACAATTAAGTATAATTTAAAAAAAATTGTACAAAAATAGTTTAGAGCTTGAACAATGTGTACAAATTTAACAAATTTATTAAAAAAATATTTCTATGTAGAGTTTTACTAAATAAGTCATTGGGTTTTCTGTCAAGAAATTATCAGTATAGTACAATATCAGTTCCTAGTCAGGAAATAGGTGGTGTGGCATCCCTATGCCACGGAGGGACCTCCCCTCATATATACTTTTTTATTACAACTGAACATAATTATATATAATTATGTATAATTGTGTTCAGTTAATATAATTATACTGTAATATATATAATTGTGTTCAGTTGTAATAATATGAAAATAAAAATAGTATTATGATTTTTTGTAATGACACTTTTTGTTGTATCAAATCTGCATTTTACATTATTATAAATTATATAAACAGCAAAATGTGTAGACTGTACTACCGAGTTGTCAAACACTGTTTTGTTATAATAATTAGCAAACTACAATAAAACATAGTATAAATAAATACAAAACATTGTACATAAAGTACAGCGCAAGTAAACAGGAACAGAATGTGATGTCCTTTAAAGAATATTTGACTAATATTTAATTGATGTATGTAACCTAGCATTTATCTGTTTATTAATAACAAACATATTACAATAACATTTATATAATGTGGAATTAACAGTTATTAGCTATCAAAATATTTCTCTAAAGCCGTGCGACTATTTTTTTTTTGTAATGACCGATCATTCATTTCGGTCGGATCTTCTCATAAAAGAAAGTTTGTGGCACACTCAAAGCTTCTTTCATTAACACTTTCCTTTTAACAAATTTAAAATGTTCTAATGCGAACTCATACAACTCGTTCTCCATTTTCCAAATAGTCGATTGTTGAATTCTTTCTATGGTGCTCTGAGCCGGATCGATTTTCGAACTTGTTTGTCTCAGATGCGATTTATTACTATTTAAGTAATGCTCGGTAGCGCCTTTGAACATACGAGGCAGAGCAGATTCTAGGACTGATATAAAATCTAACATCTCCTCAGTAACACCCACTACAAGGTAGTGGTTGACTAGATTATGTTTTGCTTGTTGCAATGCCCACTGGTTACCTGGTTTCCTGAAGATACAGAAAAAATTGCTCTGTTTACATATAAGGTGGGCAATAGGTAAAGGACTCTTATTGAATGAATCTCATGATATTCTTACATTTAGTATGAGAAAACTGTTGTCACTTTTCTCATGGCACTAATATATATACTACTATTTTTTTTACTACTACACAATGCAAAAATTAAAAAAATATATTATACAAGTGATTTCAGTAAAATACTTCGAGGACCTGTTCGCCAACACATTATGGGGTTCATAATGGTTTTCTGCCTCCAATGCCCTCAGAAATGAGGCCTGTCTCTTCCTCTTCTCATTTCTTTTACTTTAGTGTTTTTAAAGTGATTTAAAAAAAATAAGATCAGGTAATGACCAGTAGTATACTTACCAACATTGTGCGGCATGGCCACAGAAAAATGGTATTTGTAGCCACATAGAGTTAGGATCACAGTCTGGCTGACTCTTCTCCACACATTCGTCAAAAGTCTATGGAACATGAAAATATTATCAATAACCTAAATATGTATGAGCATGTATTAAAAAGTAAGACTCAATATTGTACCACTTACCATTTTATCCCCATGTTTCTTTCGTACCAAATGTGGTCTAAAATTATCTCCATTCCGTAAGAAATAATAATATGAAACCAGCCTATCTAATGGCTTCCTTATTAAATTGATAAACACGGGTTTAGATGATGTACCTAACCTGAAAATATTATTAACTGATTTGTAAATCTTAAATTAAACAAATTTCGAAATACTCTATCATTCATCATCATCATCATCATCAACGTCATTACAGCTTATCAAAAGTCCACTGCTGAACATAGACCTGCTCTGCGTCGGTTAGCAAGTTTTGACTTGTTATCAGAAAATACTTGCTGCCGTTTCATCACCTGTTTCAGTTTCCCCCTGTCACCTCGTACTTAGCACACCCACGGAATGTTATGGGACAGTGGATATCATTATGCCACTACAAGACAATGTTATTGTTATAATGATTAGATCATAATTACACCTGTTTTACAAGTGAGAGACAATTGGTCCTATTAACAATATATTAGCTGTCCTATTAGTCTAGTAGTTGTAAGTGCAACTGCTGATCAGGTAGTCCTAGGTTCAAAGCCAAATTTTCAGTAGCAGCCCGGTGGGCGTATTACGTATCTTGCAAAAGGCTAGCGAGAGCGAAATTAGAACAATAATTGCTGATAAATCGCAGATTCGTATTACGTACCAGCGATAACCAAGCCCTAGCTAACTAGCGACCACAAGGCAGCGCTGTCTCTAGTACAGATTTGGGGAATTTGGCGATGTTTCACACTCATGCCTCGGAAAGCACATAAAGCAGTTGATCCTGAGTCTGATCTCTCATCCAGCTGATGAAGAAGACAATGTAATGCATCAAGAACTGATCAAGTAGTTAGGCAGTATATATCCCTGGTGTATATTATTTATGTTCAATTATTAAATAATAAATTATTTACCATATCAATTTATTACTAAAATTGTTCAAATTTATTTGTTAAGTTAAAATTAATGTAATGCTTCCAGTGGCGGGTTGGTACCCAGAGCGGTTTTCTATGAAGTAACCCCCAAATAAAACAAAATGCTAAACATGCTTACTGGACTTTATTTTGCTAATTTATTCTATTCATCATCATTATCATTACAGCCCTTCACAAGTCCACTGCTGAATTAAAGCCTCTCCCAAAGAAAAGCACAGTCCTGAGCCATCCGCATCCATCGACTTCCTGCATGTCTTACCAAGTCGTCACTCCATCTAGAGGTACGAGGCTGCCACTCAAGAACCTTGCTTCCCAATCGGTTGTCGGTTCTTCAAGCTATATGACCAGCGCATTGCCACTTCAGCTTACTAATCCGTAAGTCTATGACGGTTACTCGGTTTCTACTGCGAATATCCTCATTTCTAGCATAGCATAGCCTTATCTATAGCTTGCTGAGCAACCATTAAATTCCTCATACGGCCAGCAGTGAACGATCACGTCTCAAATTTATAAGTCATCCACTGGCAACACACACGTGTTGTACAATCTTGTTTTCAAGTTTCAAAACCTAACGAGAAGATATGACGAAATCTCCCGAACGCTGCACAGCCGAGTTGAATCCGTCGATTGATCTCTCGGTCGCAGTTGGACTTACCGGTATATTTAGTAGTCGGTATGTATGTCCCAGGTAAATTTACTCGTCAACAACTTTAAGCTTAGTGCTCCCAACAACTACCGGCATAGATGTGACATGGAGGTTTCACATGATCTTTGTTTTGTCCATGTTCATCTTAAGACACTATTGAGGCTATTGAGCATAGTGCTTCTGCCAGCGATTCTGCCATAAGGACTATATCGTCGGAAAATCGAAGGAAGTGATGTACCCGTCATTGTTATTAATATTGTATCTGTCCCAGTTCAGTAGCTTGAAAAGGTGTTTCAATGCCGCAGTGAAGAGTTTCGGGAATATAACATCACCATTTACGTGGTAGAGCCATGCTGCAGCTATAAGTTGTAGCACGAATGGGTCGGCTCGACCGGGGAAGGACCACGCTCTCACAGAATACCAGCGTAAAATAGCAGCTTAATGCTGCTGTGTTTCGTATGGTGTGTGTAGAGAACGGGAGACCCTTTTTACTGGAAAATAGGCATTCCATCTTAATCCTCACGAGTGACAACGCATCTGCATTTTGATTCTTTATTGAGGATAAATGTAGATGTCTATGGGCCACAGCAATCACTTACCATCAGGTGGACTGTGTGCTCGTTTGTCACTCTATCCTATAAAAAAAAACCCTGTCTCACACCTTTCTGCAGTTGGATAGGTTTGATACTCTCATTCTGTACTCTGATAACCATCATAGCCCTACTGTACAAACACTTCAGCACTTCGATATACCGAGAGTAAACTTGGCACCACTGAAGGGACTGCAGCATCGCCTAAATTTCGACGGAATCAAAAGCTTTCTCATAGTCCATATATGCAAGACAAAATGGCAGATTGTATAATTTGCGGAAGCATGCTAAAGCCTTTTCAGAAACTGACTTGTTCGGGAGGCTGGAAGTCATAGAGTCTGCTTGGGAGCCAATTCGTAATGACTCTCAAAAACCTACGCCACCGCACTTCTGCTACACGCCTCCGGAGGATGGAATTAAGGAGCTTCTGAAAGACTTTAAGTACCAGTTTTCTACCCGCTTTCAAGCTCCGCTGTAACTCCATCTTTACCCGGGGACTTGCCATTTTTACGGTGCTAGAGAGCCATTCTAATTTCGCTCAGACTGACCTCTGGGATATCATTGGAATAGTATCGAATAACACTCTTGGATCGTTTTTCACACTTGCGTATGTCTCCAACGATTACGTGTACAACTGCCCATAGAATCTCTCAATCTCACTCAAATCTAAGGTGTCCTGGAAAAAAATGCTGCTACATTCGGTCATCAGCATCGACAGTTAGGTCTTTCTGGCAGGCAGATCTCTGGCAAAGATTTTGGGTCCCTGGTTCCGCCCAATCGCTTCTTCAATATGAGCCATATTGAAGTTGTGTAAGTCCCGAAGCATTCATTTGGAAATCTGTCTATTCAGTTACCAGTATGCTGTCATATTCTTTCCAAATTGTTCAAATTCTCTTTCACTAACAAACGTATTGTGGGTTTTGAAGAAACGCATGGCTCTAGAAATATTCTCATACATTTCCTCCACCTCCTCATTGGGATTTGCCGAGGATTGTGCGTAAACCTGTATGACCTTCAGCGAATACCGTTTGGTGGTTCTCAGTATAAAGTACTCAGCCTTCATAGACACACTCCCAATCTTTACAACGTTGTTAACGAAAGACTTGTGGCCGATAAGTATGACACCTTCATCGGACAGATGGTCAACCTACCGGTGATAGAACAAGTTGCTGGATTCAATGATTACAGTGTCCTCTCTCTCTTCGGACTTCAGATAAACCTATAATATCTTAGCACAACTTGTCTATCACTTCTTCCAGCTCCCGGATCTTCTGGTCAGTAATCAGGGTAAGTGCATTATACATTGCCAGATCTAGTTGTCTTAGTTGGCAACTGAACCTCCACCAGAGATTCTTAGCACCCCCTGCCCAGCCGTTACTGTTGCCACCATAGCCAGAAATAGCGGAGCCGCCGGGTACTGGGTGCTGTCTTTTTGTAACTGTCGCCATATTGCCATAGTTGCCTCACATGGGGAGCGGGTTTGCAACTTCAGTTTTTTTTATTGTTATATACCTGTTATCAGAAAGACGCTGCTGCCTATCTTTTGCCTCTATCTCCCTCTGTCGCCTCTTATGACACCCATGGGAAGTAGGTGGGTTAGTGAATATTTTTATCCGCCACTACATGGAGGTAATATTTAAGGTAAAATATTTTATTACATTATCAAAATTTACATTCTTGTCCTTTTCAATAGATACAATGGAAAGATTGGTTAGTTGTGCTTGGCTCATTGTGGACCTTAAGTAAGATTTTATTAACTTGAGTTTTGAAAAGCTTATTTCACATGAAGCTACCGAAACACAGATAGTTAAAAAAATCTTAGACAAAGCACTAGATTTGAAACAGACTACGATGAATCTGAGAAGCTGCAATGAAGTCCTACGGTACTATGGGAATATGCATCAGTAATAAACATATCACTAATTGATTGTATTTGTTAATACGCGCAATACATTCTTCGATCGCGTAACTCACTCGTCCTAGCGTTACCTAATATGAACTCATTTATTTAGGACATAGATTATGTTCAAAAGTAAATAAAAATAAATTTGAGATACATTTTAAAATATAATATTTGTAGGCAGGTAGATACTATAGTAGGTAGCTATTTATTTATTGGTATATCTTTGTGGAGTCATTCTTTTGTAAGTATTCTCTGGCTGTGCAAGTGAGTTGTTTTTGTCCCCCCTAGGTGCTTGGCACCCAGTGAGGACTGCCTTCACTGCCCCCTTTATGCCGCCACTGGTTATCACAAGACCATGTCAATAAATTTTAACAAGTAAAGAAGGGTTTCTCTTAAGTTATTTTTTTAAATCCAAGGATTGTCATAGGATATTATAAAATTAAATTCCAACAGACATTTTTAAATAACTTGCCAATAGTCACCACACTGGATATATGGGTTAATAATGAGTACAGTGCTAATAACCTATCATTCATAGTCAAAATATTTTTATTCAAAACTGGCCTTAACAAAGCACCTGAAAGTCAAGAATGGCGTATGGCTTTGCTAACATTAGTGATAATAATTTCCTGTAGAAAGAATTTCAACAGCAGCAGTAAGACACAGGACAAGAGCACCTTACAGTGTGTGTGCAAGTGCAGTCCGTGAGATGGAAAACTGGACGACCAGAGAGATCAAGCACAGGATCAATGGCTTTACATGCTTTCCGAGGCAAGGAGATAAAACACTGCCACTTTGTGACTCCAGGCTTCTACTGAAAATTTCTTGACAGAAAAATTCAACCACACTTTCGACCACTAGAGCCAACAAGGTAGTCATACACACATCATTATACCACCAAAGACAAAGATAATGCTGCCTCCCATCTTAATGTTTTGTGTGTGTTTTGAATTTGAATTTTAATATTTTAAAATGGACTTTCCACAAACAATCAGTCCTGTACAACATAAAGATTAGGTTTAATATAATATGACGTAGATTTATAGCACTCCCCTTGGATCTCAAAGAAGAGTTAAAATGATATTTAATCACAGAAACTGTCTTTGCAATATTAGTTTGAAATAAATATACACATATTAATCTGTATGTAAAACTTCAACTCCTTCATTTTCTTATGGGGGTTGGATAAAATTTGAAATTCATTTATAATTTATAATAATAATATTACCATCGCCTAATTATTGTATTGTTAACAAATCAATATTTAGCAAAGCTAGTTTACCTTTCAAAATTTAAGAATGCCATATGTCCATGATATAGAGCAGGTTTCATTTCCTGCCATTTTGTCACATTCTGGGCAAATTTGTACTGGTTACTAAGAGACATCACATGCATGTTTGCTGTTATATTTATATGTAGCACTTTAAAATGGTTTTTCTTACATAAATCGTATGCTACACCCACAAAGCTAGTGGACCCAGTCTTTGGGACACGATTATATATTACTATCAAGTCATTATTATCGTCTTTTTGCAATATATTCGGATTAAACTGACGCGAATTAAATTGATTTTGTGTTAATTTGTATTCTGAAACAAAAGTAACATTTTCTTAATTAAATTAAGTACGGAAATATCAAAAATCATAATACTATAATACGTACCTAATTTGCGATAACTTTCCTCTAGATGAGCTATTTCTGCTTGAAAGTATAAAATTATGACAACAATAACACCGAGACACGATAGTAACCAAAGTTTATGCAGGTTCAACATAGTGTAATTTTCTACGCCAAAATGAATATTTTCATAATTATAAGTTCATTTTATGCATAAACATGTAATCCAAATATTCATATCTTTCCAACACACCTACAGTAGAATAGAGAACCATACTTTACAAAAATTTCAAAAGAAAACATTATCATCTTTACAAATAAGTAATCAAAATTTTTAGAAATCGACATTTGACAACAGCAATAAAATAAGTAAATAGGTTTGTATAATGTAAAAATATATTAAATATCGATATATCAAAACGACGATATTTTTCATAAAATTATCGGTATTTAATCGATATATTTCATATCAACATAATATCAAAAGTTGATATATTTCCGAGTGCCAATGAAAGTATCAATCGAAATCGATATTTTGTGTTTCAAAACAGCTCAGTATCCAATTGCATGCGTTGATTATGTGATGGATGGATGTTCGTTATTTTTTATATTAAGGGTAACAAACGAGTACACAGTCCACCTGAAGGTAATTACGATTAAGAATCAAAATCACCCTTAAGTAGTAAGATGAAATGCCTCATTTCCACTTAAAAGGGTCTCTGGTTCTCTACACTCACCATATGAAACACCGCAGCATTAAGTTGCTATTTCACGCTGGTATTCTGTGAGAGCGTGGTCCTTCGTACTGCAACTATAACATGGCTCTACAATGTTGGAAGACATATATTCGATTTTGTGCACCGCTCCGTTGAAAGTGAAGTTACCTTTATTGTGTTTAGGTGTGTGTATGTATTTTATTTTATTTTTAAAGCCTTCAGCCATAAATAAATCAACTTGCTTTGTCACAGTACACAGTACTATATTACACAACTTAGTATTATAATGATAAATATACAAATTTCGTCATAATATGTTAATGCATGTCTTGTGATCACACTGCGATTATTTAGGGAGATTTGACAGTTGATTAAGCCACTGTCATAGTTTACAAGCCTTTACATTAAATACACAAAGCCGCACCAATTTTGCGTATCAAAATCCACATCGAACTATAACTTGAACGATAAAACAGGAACAGCAATCTGCCGGTGATCAGGTTGCCGTCAAAATTGTTGGATGTGAGTATTTGTTTTGGACATATGGGATATAAAGTATAAATGACAGTGGGATGGAGCAGATTTTAGAGAATTTTTTCTTGATAGAAATCAACACTGCTTATAATATAAATATCGATATTTATCGACATATTATTTATTTGCTCCTCCCTAATTAACAATGAATGTCAAGAAAATGTCAAATGTTGTTTTTTTCTTATTTAATGCTAACAGGATGGATGCCCATAGAGCCTAGTCTAACGTCTATTTTATTCACACAATTCTTACAATTGAAGGGCACAGGAAAAGAAGGGGCTCATTAACATTCTCATTGTTTCAAGTAATTAAAGAATTAAACCTAAAATTTTAATTTCTACATTTACAACTCTACTAGAATATGATTTGTACCCATATAAAAAGGATCAGTGTATATTTATGATAATATATTATTATTTTAAAAGATTGCGTTGGTAAATAAATAATAGTTTGTAATTTAATTACCTAACTCCCAAATGTAATTGGCAAGAAGGTGCTCATTGTCACAATGATCTCCTTTTTACATTTTACAAATTAATTGGTGATCATAAACAATGTCTAATTACATAAACACACTAATGAAATAAAATACATGTTAATTAGCATGAAATTTATTTGTGGGGTAAGTTCGAGTAATATATTCGGGTGAAATTAATTTTAAAGATGAACAAAGAACGGGGGCCTTGCGTTGTTGGTGCGAGAAGACCCACGAATCACATATACGGACATCGAAAAGATTGTAGGCATTTGTTCGAGGAGCATTCATACCATCCTACATCAACATCTTGAGTGAGGAAGCTTTGTTGTCGATGGATCCCTCATTTGCTCTCCGAAAGCGAAAAACAGACTCCTATCGATTGGTGCCATGAAATGCGTCTACGTTTTGAAAACGGGGCATCTAGACGTGTTTCAGAAATCGTTACTGGTGACGAGACATGGATCTATCAATATGATCCGGAAAATAAAAGGCAATCGTCGGTATGGGTCTACTCAGAAAGAAAGTTACTGACAAAACTGTAAAGACCTCGCAACTGTAAAGACGTCGGCAAAAAAAATGGCGGCTAGTTTTTTTCGCAGAGCGGACATTTGTCGACGTCAATGCTGGAGAATTGTAGGTCAGTCAACTCTGAATGGTATACTACAGTTGCATTACCCAAAGCTTGTCAAGCTGTGCGGGAGAGAAGACCAAAGACCGGGCTTCGGGGAATCATGCTGCATCACGGTAACGCCTTTTCACATACCTCCCTTAGAACAAAGTCATTTATTGAGGAATCTGGTGTTGAAACTTTAAGTCACACACCCTACAGCCCTGACTTAGCTCCTTGTTATTTCTTTTTGTTCCCAAGAGTCAAAGAAAAAATAAAAGCAAGCCGAAGAAGCCGTGGCTGCCTACGAAGAAGCGATTTCCGATCTGTCAGATCAAGACTGGCAAAAGTGTTCAGAGTTAGCTTAGGCGAATGGAACTTTGTATAGAGCATGATGGAGAATATTTAGAAAAAATTAAAAAAAAATTAATAGTATCTAGAATACTTATTATATATCTTAAAACTTATTGAGTGTCCTATGTATTATTATCCATTTTGAGATAAATAAGTAAAAAATTTTAAAAACCTAACGTACACTAAGGAAGTCGCAAGGAAGCTTATCTGACGGCTGTTACTTGTATGACAAAATAATGAAGATGGCCGACTATGAGCGCGTTTTCTGTTACAATCGCTGCGATCAGCCTGGTCTAGCGTGGTTTCACAGACAATGGGCACCTTTTTTACTCGGTATGGAATGCAATGAGCGCGTTTTATCCTAAAGTAGATTTTTTTTTTCAATTAACTTTACACAAAATCAGCGCCTTTTATCGTGTTTAAAATAACGTGCTCTGATTGGCCATAGAAAACGAAGTTAAATGGTATAGTTCATTCCGAAAACGTAAAATTGTCAATGAGCTCCATTTTTCCCTGTGCCCTTCAATTCATAATAACATGTTGGCGATGTGTTACATTGCGGGGTTTAGTTTTCAAGAGTTTTTATGAAAGCTCAAACATGCAGAAAAATCGATTACGATGGCAATCAAGGTGCCAAAGCTCCAAGATATTGGACCAGTTTCACGTATCCAAATACACTTCACATCAATAATTAAAAGATAATAATAATGTTAACGAACGGTAACCTGCCGGCGGTCACGGTCAAGTTATCAGGTCCCGCACAACGACTAAACTATCAAATGATATGAACTGTCTGTCACAAAATTTAAAATTTACGAGTAGTTCCGAGACGAGTGTTCATAATATATTATAGTACTCATGTGCCGGGACATTTTATGTTTTTACGCTTCAAGTGTCAGAGGCCGTTCGGGAGGTCGCACGATACCGGTAGTCGCTAATATAAACAATGATATCTTTTTAATTTTGTATGTCAGTTATATATAAAACATATACGCATCGATTCGTTATGAATTAAGCTATTTAATTATTTTTTATAAATATTAAATTCTATTTCTATTATATTATCAATCTCATTTCAAAATTGTGTGACGTAATTTTAGCGGTTTTTTGTACATAAAGGGAAGGGATTATGAAATGAAACTGTTATATAAAAAGGTATTTGTTTTATTTGCATAACATTACAACAATCTATCATGAGAGATTAAAAAATCACACCCCTCATTAAAAAAAATTCACACAGCAAACTTTTTAATATCTGCCCCCTTTTACGCGGTAAAACAAAAACGGGTTAAAACAATTAGAGAAAAAAGTTAAAAAAGTAAACGTCAAAAAAATAATAAGTGAATCGTGATTGCTTGCCAAACCCCCTACGGGTGCCATGACACACGAGGTAGTAACTAAAACTGTACTCGTACTCGTACCAAACATTAAAATATCATCATCGTTATAAGAAAAGACATTAGTTTTTGTTAAAGATTTAATAATATTATATAAACATAGGATAAAGTAGTAATTCAATAATATAATGTAATAAAATAATACAATGAGCAATAGTAATTAAATTTATGCAGTGAACCGTAAACTGTTTTCAGCATACTGTTCACTGCAGAGATTTGACTACTTTTCACCCATTTCTACCTAGACATGTGAAGTTCGCCAACACACATTGCGGCAGCGCGGCAAACATTTCCTAGCCCTAAAACCCTCTCAGAAATGAGAGGAAGGCTGTGCACAGCAGTGGTACGTATATAGGCTGTAACTAACATTAATATCACCGAAAGACAACATTTAAGCAACTCCAAAAATTTGTAAATATGTCCAAGTCTCAGAATACCGCACTAAACTTTAGCGGCTGTCAATCCTTCTTCGTCAGAATACTCACTTCAATAAATTTATTGTCACCATAGATAGTCACGGACTCACGGATTTATCGCTAAAAACTTTTATTTTTAACGTTTAATTAACCATGAATATTTCTCTTCCTTTTATCTAGTGGTCGTAAGTGCAAATGCTCTTCCGGTATTGGGTTCGACTCCCGGGTCGGACTAAAATCAGTGATGATTGTTATGGAATTTCATAATTCAATTTTCAACGTCTGAATAATCAGAAATTTCGCAGACTTACTAAAATCCGATGACAATACTTAATTCTAATAATAGCGTACATAATAGGTAGCGTAGTTGTTAAAGGCTTGGCTAGAGTGTAAGCCTGCCTCGTAACGGTTAGCGAAGTGTAGGGCGGATTTGTCGTGGCGGGGGGAGGGGGGCTTAGTAGGGCTGACCAGCGGTGACCACTCCTGGGCTTGGGGAGCCCACTTCGGATGTGTGTTGTTGGGCTGCGGCGAGAGAGATGTACTCTCCCCTACCACTGCAGCTGAGGTGGAGTCGCGGAGGAAGAGGAATGTCGGTATTGCGAGGCACCGCTCTCCCTACCCTCCGTAGCCGTATCTTGGTTGGCTGGGGAGCCAT